TTCCTTCCTTCCTTCCTTCCTTCCTTCCTTCCTTCCTTCCTTCCTTCCTTCCTTCCTTCCTTCCTTCCTTCCTTCCTTCCTTCCTTCCAAAAGCCTTTCCTATTCTCCCTTGTAAGCATCACTGTTTTAGATTCATGACTGCCAGTTCTGCACTTGCACATGCAAACATGCGCCATGCGCACCATCTATGTATGGAACAGCTCTGGGTGGTCCCACTTTCTCTTCTTGCTGGGATGTAAATGGAATCTTGCTATACAGGGGTGAAGGGAAATAGATGGAGAGAGGGGTTCTTTCTCCCTCTAAAGGGTGAGGGATCTGACATATTTGCATCCCTCACCTGTACTGCCAATTTCCATTTATACAGTTCCCTCTTACTCCCCCTTTCATCTGAAAAGAAACTGGAACTGAAGCTTCAAGACCTTGTGAAGGTTATCCAGGACACAAACCAGCCCCTGGGGGCCTCTATTTCAAGGAGAGTGGGAGAGAGGAGGGGGGGTGAGATTCCGTATTTATTCCCCCCCTCCCCGTATTTCTCACCATCTCACCATCCTTTCCTTAGTGAGATACATTAAGCTGAGTTTCTCCATTCCCACTTTCCAGAACTAGATCCAAGGGAACCCTCCGCTCCAAGGTTATTTCCAGGCCCCCATGGCCCCTTCCCTTTTGGTGGGGTTTGCTTATTTCAGCCAAGGGGGTGGGGGTGAGCGGGTGGGCTTTTCTTTCTCTCACCCACAGCTTAAAGCTGGTCCTTCATAACCTGGGATGGGGGAGCCCTCCGCGTAAGAGGCTGTGGCGTGAGAACAGAGGCAAAAGCCGTCCGTCCGTCTGCTGGGTTGGAGAGAGGCTTCCTCCAGAGGATTCAGCCGAAGGAGGAGAAGGAGGCGGCAGGCAGGAGGCTAGCAGTGGTCACTGAGCAGGTGTCCGGAGGGTGACTCTGTCTTCCCCTGCAGAGGAGGGGCTCTCTTTGAGAGGGGCTCCTTTGATCCGGCTGAGGAAGGGGAGGGGCAGAGATGCTCTTTCTTTAGAGGATGAAACCCTGGCTGGTGTTTGCTCAGCCTTTCCCTCCTCTGGCCCACCCTGCCGTCTCCCTTTCTGGCACCACGCAAAGGGGAGTGGAGAAACCTCCCCAGTGCCCTGATTTTTATGACGCTTTGAGCCACAGGACAGCAGGTGGGGCGATGTTCAAAGAATAGACCGGGTGTGCAAAACTCTGCCCGTTCTGGTTCTCCTCAAAAGACAAATAAATATCTCCAGCATCTCCAAGACGGGCAGAGCAGTGGTGGTTTCCTACCCTCGTCCAGGGAGTCCTGTGACCTGCTTGGAACTGCTGGAAGTAGGAATGTCAGCTGCCAGAAAACCTGCTACACCCCTCCCCTGGCTCCTCTTCTGCCCCCCCCCCCCCAATAGAAGGATGCACACCCATATCCCCATCGTACCCAGGGGATGAAGGAGCCTTCGGAGGATTTGCAAGTAACTCTTTGTTCCGCTTTGCAAATGCCACTCTTTCAATTGTAGATTGGATCTCAAGGATTCCTCCCCTCCTCTGCTTCCCCCAGGCCAGCTTTAGCAAGGGAGGAAATACAAAGAACTGCAAATTCATCAGAAACTGGCCTTCTTTAAACACAGGACACTTTCTACATTATCATTAACAGGAGATTAAATAGAATATGAGATTCAATAAAGGAGAGGGACAGAGGGAGAGAGAGAGAGAGAGAGAGA